CGGGTCCTCCCCGCTCTCGGCTCCTCCCCGTGACCCCGGACAGGCAGGGGTGCACACCGGGTCCTCCCCGCTCTCGGCTCCTCCCCGTGACCCCGTGACCCCGGGAAGGCAGGGGGTGCACACTGGGCCCGCCCCGCTCTCGGCTCCTCCCCGTGACCCCGGGAAGGCAGGGGATGCACACCGGGCCCGCCCCTCTCCCGGCTCCTCCCCTCCCCGCTCTCGCCTCCTCCCGGTCCCCGGGCGCCGCACCCCACCGCCGGCCGGAGCCATCTGCAGCTTCCACATCTCCTGGCACGAATCCGCGGGCCCAGAAGTCGCCATAACACGGGGCGGAACTCAGCCAGGCCCCAAACCCCGTCAGAAAGCCTGGACCCTCCGGGAAGCCGGGTCCTGCCGTCCGAGGTCCTAATACCCCGAGTGCCCCTTCCCTTTCTACCTCCCGCCTCCTCTAACCCCGCCCCACTTCCTGGCGTGCTCCTCCCTGTTCCTTGTTTTGGGGGACGAGACCCCCGATTGCCGCCGGACCGCCGAGTGGGAGCCGTGGCAGCGGCCGCCTCACCCCCACGGTCTCCGCCCCGGAGACTGCGGAGCCAGGCCAGCAGCGGATGGACTGCACCCCTGCCTTACCTTGGGAGTCTGGGGTGGGGGCTCCGGGGCTCTGGTCAGCCGTGCGGCGCCCGGCAGGGCCAGCAGCAGGAGCAGCCGCAGGACAAGCGGCGCCAAGGCAGCGCCCTCCATCTTGTTTGGACACCGGGCGACGGCGGGCGGCGGGCGGAGCCTGCAGGAGGGGCGTGGTCTGTCGCCACAGGGGCGGAGCCTACACCCTCTGGGCGGGGCCACCACGAGGGCGGGGCTTTACTAGATGCATGTTCAGGGTTGTAACCTTTCTCTATAGCTATTCAATTTGTTGTCCTGTGCCATCCAGTCACCTGTGACTCAGAGCGATCCTATGTACCATAGCTCTGAAGCCTGCCCTCTCCTGAGCCAATCTCACTGACTCCAACGCATTCCCATTACCCTAGTTACTATGTCAATCCAAATCATTTGGAGTTTTTCTCTCCTGCACTATCCCTTCAACATTCTAAGCATAATGTCCTTCTCCAAGAACTGATCCTTTCTGGCCACGTGCCCAGGTGTCCAAACAAGTATGTGAGACAGAGCTTCAAAATACCTCTAAGAAGCAGCTCTGCAGGACCAACCTGTTTGTTCTCCTTGCAGTCCATAGTATATTCAGTACTCTTCATGAGCAAATAACTCAAGCAGCTAGATTCTATGAAGAAGAATGTGGAATCAGGATCGGAGGAAGACTCATCAATCTTCACCATTGGCCCAATAAGCAACCATGATAGATGGAGGAAAGATTAAAATTGTCATTGGATTGGATCCACAGTCAATACCTTTGGTACCAACAGTTAGGAGACACATTGCATTGGGCAAGTCTGCTGTCAGGGGCCTCCCCAAATCAATGAGGAGCAAGGATTTCCATTTGAAAACTAAGGCATGCTTATTCAAGCCACAGTCTTTTCAGTAACTTTCTATGCATCTGAGAGCTGGACAATGAAAAAGGATGACAGACGAATTCATTCATGCCTTTGAGTTATGGTGTTGGTGAATACAGAATATCCCATGGACTGTCAAAACAACAAATAGGTCTCAGGAAAAGTGCTGCCAGAGTGTTCCTCAGAGGCAAAGATGGCAAATCATCATCTCACATACTTTGGACATGTTGCTGGGAGAAGCTATACTTGGAAAGTGTCATCATGTTCAGAAAGGTGGAGGGTTAGCAAAAGAGAAGACATTCAATGAGATGGATTGACACAGTGACAGCAGGAATGGACTCAAGTGTGTCAGAAATGATGAGGATGGCACAGGGTGGGACAGGGTTCAGACCTGTTGTTCACAGGATCACTAAGAATCATACTCAGCTTAAAGATACCTAACAAAAACAAGCAAGATTCTACTGAAGATTATCCCAAAATGACTGGAACAGCACATCAGCAGAGAATTGCCAGAAGTCCAGGCTGAGTTTAGAAGGGGTATTGGTACTAGGGATATTGTAGCTGATGTTAGATGGATCTTAGCTGAAAGCAGGGAATGCCAGAAGAATGTCTATCTGTGTTTCATTGATTATGCAA